CTCCGTCCTGTCCTGTTGCCACGTGGGTTTGAAAGGTTTGTGGTGCGACGTGGCTGTTCCGATGATGACCAAGTAGTTGCCGGAATGGTGGTGTGGAGAGTGGGGAAGGGTGGCTGGGAGGTGGCCGGAAGGTAGAGGGACTGATGGCAAGGTAGCAGATAAGCTGGGGGATGGCGGCGTGTGTGGGGGGGGAAGGCAGTGGGACGGCGGCGTGTGTGTTGAGGTAAGGTGTTTGGGTTGGCAGCGCCGGTTGGCAGGAAGAGACCGTTGGCGTGCATGATATATATATATATATATATTGTGACGACCGACGAAACAGTTTGTCACAGCCCCTCGTTTGTCGTCCTCTTCTCTCTCTCTGCCTACGGTTTGCCGGGCAGTTCTATTTGTGACGATATATATATATATATATATATTGACGATATATATATATATATATATAGAGAGAGAGAGAGAGAGAGAGAGAGAGAGAGAGAGAGAGAGAGAGAGAGAGAGAGAGGGTCATCAGGCGGCAGAAATCCGTTGTTTTTTTTTTTCTTTTTTTCTTTTTTTTTTTGTATCCTATCCTATTCCAGCTTTGCGTTTTAGATTTTTTGCGGTTCCCAAAAGAAAAGAAAAAACAAAACAGAATAAAGCCTGTGTCTTGCGGGAATTTTGCCAACAGCTCTGAGAAATTTCATGCATGAGTGCGTCCAGAGGATTGAAAACAGAAAACAAAACAAACTGAAAAAAAAAAAAATAATAAGTTTATTTATTTTGTTCACGGCTTAGCTGAAGAATAATTCTGAGAAAGCTCTGTGTTTTCATTTCTGTGGTTGATTCCGGGAAATTTCCATACACACCTTTTTTTTTTTTTTCTGTTTTCCTTATCTTTTTATTCATTTATTTATTTACATTTTTGTAGGAACCAAAGACTATCCGTCCTGGCCTGACTGACGGGGTTGATCACATTGCCTGCAGCTGCTCGAATTTTGAACTTTGTCGTGTTGAAGAGCTGTGCAGTGTTGTGCGCAGTCATCTTAACAATTTTTTCAACTGCTTTGTTTGCTAAAAGACTGTTCTGTTTATCTTCTCGTTCTAACACTCTCTAACACCCGCTACTCCCACACACACACAC